TTGTTGGAGGGAGGTATTCCCTGGAACAGAGACCATCATCTTGCTTCTTCCAGACCAAACACTGTCTTCCCCAGGAGAACTCCAGGTCAGAAGCTTCAGAACAGAGGCTTCCATCCTTTCATTTCACAGGGACATGGGGAAGAAATGCAAATTGAGTCACAGCTGGACACATGCTCCATGCCTTGCTGCTGTGCCTTTTTTCAGCCCAATGGCTAATTTGGGAGCACCTCTCAATTCAATGTTCTCAATTCACTCCATCCACTAAATAGGACTCCAATATCAAAGGTAAATTAGTGATGTAGTCACTGTCAAACAGTACCAGGGCTGAATGACAGGAATGCACAAAACCATCATGTTATGAGTACTTGAAGCAGCTCTATGAAGGCATCACTGATATCAAATGCAGACTTCATAATGTCCATGAATAATGGGAACCTTACCCAGAAGGCCCCCAGAAGCCATCCCATCAGGCCCCTTGCTCAGAGCAGGAGTGAAGTCCATGCCCTACTCAGTCATGGGAGAGCAGCATGACGTCATGCCAATGGGTGCAGGGCCATCACTCTCCAGGGCACTGCAAACAGGGAACAGAGGCTGCTTTATGCTGAGCAATTGTGAGGTGACCATCAAACACAGAAGGGCTTCTTCCCTAAGAGCCAGTGGTGCAACAACTCTCCCAAAGTCCTCCAACAAGTCACAAAGTACAACACTGCCCCTTCAGGCTTCCCCATGCGCAGGGCAGTCCTGGAGTGTCTCCTCTGGTGGCGGTCCTTCTATACAAGGTCCAGCTTCTGCCTGAAGGCTACTCATGTAGGCTCTTTCTTGAGTGTTAATTCTCTTATATTGATAAGGTTAAAAAAAAGAGGCTGATTTTTTAAATAAAACGTTAAAAAAGGGGGGTGGAGAGCTGAAGACTTTACTGTATTCCCTCAGAAGGCTTCTCTCCAGAGTGAGGTTTCTGGCATTGGGAAGAAGGAAGTGTGGCTGACACCTCTCCCAGGTCAGTTGTACACACAGGATCCTTCTCCAGTGTGAAGCGTTCTACGCGGAACAGGCAGGAGCTGCAGCTTTTTGCCCTCCTACTTACCTCACTCACAACGTGGTAACTTGCTGCTGCAAAACAGGATTAACTCTGAGAGGAGGCTTTCCAACACTAGCTGTACTCATGCCTTTCTCTGATGGGGACTACATGAAACAGGTTTCATATTTTCCTGGAAGTTTTCACGTAGTTACTGCATTTGCACAACTGTTGCCTGGTGTGAATTTTCTGGTGCTAACAAGTGTGGAGCTCTGAATGGAGATGCCCGTTCTCCACATTTGTGAGTCCTTTATCAGTGTGAATGATTTGGTACAGGGGGAAGTGCAAAATTTTGCTCAAAATTTTGGGCCACGCTCCCTGCCCTCATAAGGGCTTTCTATGGGGCAAATATTTTGGTGCTCAATGGAAATAGAGGTCTGGCTGGAGGCTTTCTCATGTAACATTCAAATGTGTGAACGTACTCCTGCTTTCTCAGGATGGAGACAAAGGTGAAGGCCTTCAAAATGCACTTGGGATTTTTTTCCCCATTCTTAAGTTTTTTTTGGTGGTAGAAAAGGGAACACCTCTCCTTGAACACCTCTCCATTTGCTGTGCATTGATCAGGTGTCTCTTTCAGTGTCAGTTCTCTGTGGATTCTGCAGAATGTGGAGCTGGCAGGGCCTCAGTGTCTGGTGACAGACAGGTGCTGTGCAGTGAGGGGAGTCCAGGCCTGGGACCCCTGACACTGTGCCCACCTTCCTCAGAGGGACAAGTCAGGCTCATGGAAGAACAGGTTTTCAAGAACTATTTAAGGATATGTGAAGAGGAGGCCAATGATGGAGGACCTGGCCATAAGAGGGGAGAAAGAGAGAGGCTGAGAGGCAAAGGACCAAGAGGGTTTAGCCAGGGGACAGGAAGTCAGGGTAAATTAGGATGGGGTGTCAGAAACATAGAAAAGAGGCATGGGTACTCACATTGATGCCACGGCAACAGAAGACACAGGTCAGGTACCAGGTAAGAGATCAGCCCACTGCCACAGGCCCTTCCACACCTGTCTTGCACTCACCAGGACTGGTCTTCCATGGGTCTCTCTGGTCATGAACTGATTTGAGCCACCCGATCCACCAGCTAGGTCCCCTTTCGATGTTCAAGTTGGGTGACCGCACTGGGGTGGGTGGAGACAGTAATTCTTAAGGGAGATCAAGGCGTTTGTGCGAGGTCAGCCAGCCCCAGGTCAGGGGTGATTCACTCCATGACAGACCAAGGTGGATGAGGATTACTTATGCATCTGGGAGAACTGAACCTCACAAAATGAACACCCCGGGAAGGTCCCACTAGAAAAGCTCAGTGGCCCCTGAATCAATGACCATGTTAGTGCCCATAAAGCCAGTAAAGGCGCTGACAAGGGGCAGCTGGCAGGAAACTTCCACTGGAGAAGGTGTGATAGAGGGACCGAAAAGTCACAGACCCTGACTGGTTCATCAGACCAGAAAATAACCAAGAAATATATATATATATAACAAGAAAATAACCAAGAAAATAACCGGCTACTCCTGTTGTGATATTTTTGACCTTGGACCACAGTTGTCAAGGTCCCAAGGCAAAAGGTGTTGGGGGTTGTTTATACTGTAGTCTGGGAGGAGAGGTAGCAGAACATTGGACAGCACTAGGGCCAGCAGCACCTCTCACAAGGAAACTGGCAGCCTGACCTGGTGAAGACAGCACCATATCACAGCAGAAGCCCCACTGGGCCTCACTAAGGAGACCCACTTCTTCCGAAAGAAAGGCACACGACCTTGTCCTCAAAGGTCACTGGGTCCTGCAACAGCAGGCAAGGGGCACATGAATGTGTTCTAAGCATCGGGCACTGGACCTGACATGCCAGTCTCTGTCCTGCCACACACTTCCCCTTATGTCTCCCAAACCCTGTCCCCTGACACACCTGCCCACCCTTTCGTATCTGAGAGCATGGGCCGTCCTCCTGGGTATGCACTCTCCCCATGTCCATTGGTGTTTGGACAATGCTTCTCTTTTTCTGCACCCACCTCATCTACTCAGCTATTGGTCCTTAGTCTGGACACCCCACACTCACCTCAAGGCCTATCTGTAACAACCTAAGAGTTTCCTTCCAAAATCCCATTCTCAGCATCTTCCCTGGTCCAGGCCACCAGTGCACTGCAGTCTGGACATCAGGAGGCCAAATCAAAATCCCCTATCTGTTCACGGGCACATGTGTCACCTCCACCTAGAGGCCTCCAGAAAACTCAGTCTCTACCCGTACAAAATCCAACTGCTAATCTTCCCCCAAATGTACTCCTCCTGCCAACCTCCTTTCTCCATCTCATTCTTTATCTGAACACTTACGGTGGTCCTTTACCCTCCACTACGTTCACTCTCCACGTGTAACTGGAGGTCCCATGGACTCCACTTTGAAAGACGCATCCAGAATCTGAGTATCTCTCCCACCTCTCCTGCTTCTATTCTGAGCAGGCCACCCAACATATACCTGCAGCAGCAACCTCATGCAGCTGCCTGCTTTCAGCCCCACCACAACCCCTCTCCCACAAGGCTGCTCAGTGTGTTTACGCGGGATCCACTGGGATAGTTTCAAAATCCTAACTCAGATCATAGCCATCCATCTTCTAATGAAAAATTTCTGTGGCTCCCAGCATCCTCAGCCCGTCAACAGAGTTAGGACTCCTATCCTCACGCTCTCGGTTACCCGCAACGGAGACTGGAAAACGTTCCTGAATGCTCAGGTCAGTCTCACTTCCAAGTCTTCGCACATGCACATTCCTCCGCCTGCACCCTCCACATTTTATCATACTGGATTCTGAAAGGGAGACCCCCCGACCTGTGAACGTTCCACTGTCCTGAACACCCAGGCCTGAGGCTGAGTCAGGGACTTGGGGCACTGGGGTTCGGAGTCCAGCCAGGTGGAGGCCAGGAGACTCTACCTCATCCGTGCCTAGTCGATCGGCTCGCTCATCACGCCCGCAGTCCAGCTACATAATGGGTCAAGACCTCGGAATGGCTGGTTTTCGAGCCTGGGTCTTCTTCTCCGTAAAGTGGACACAACGCACAGGGCGACGACTCCGGGGCGGCCACGGACACAGACGGGCCTTGACGGAGGTATCCGCAGGGCCCCCGGCGCCAGGCGGTCCCCCGACAGCCGAGGACACACGAGCTCGGGGAGGCGGGACGTTCGCTGCGGTCATGGGGCGTACAAGGCACAGCGGGTGGACCACCAAGGCTCTCGTACCTACCCTACTCCCGTTTCCGCGGGCCCGGGGAGCCTCCTGGACGCTACGTCCCTCCACGAAGTGCCGACATACAGGCGGGACAAAGAAGCAATGGTCCAACCCCGGAAGTCCCGCCCCCGCCGGCGCGGCCATTTCGGAAACGCCCCCTCCCTTAGGTGATCATTGGTCCCTATCCTGGGCTCTCATTGGTCAACACTGTGTGCGGTCGCACGGCGAGGGTGTTTCTGGGTAATGTAGTTCGTGTCTCGTGAGACGTGACGCAACGTGCGTCCTTCCTGATCACCTAGGCAACGACTAGGCGGCACCGCGATTGGCTCCGGGAAAAGCGTCATAGTCAGCCGCGAGCCTTGAACCAGTGAAGGGTCAGGATTTGGGCGTTTTCGCGTGGGCCTCAGGGGGTGGGGCGGGACTTCCGGCACGGCCATTGCAGTCTTCGTTTTGCGGCGGGTTGGGCTGTGCGCAAACAGTTGCTGGGACGTGCGGCGAAGGGGGCCGGGGGGGTCGTGCTGGAACCGTCATCGCACCTTGGCAGTCACTTTTACCCTCGGCTGACGGCCCTTCCTTCCTGAGCCTCGGTTTTCCCGGAAGTGGAACGGACGCAGAGAGTCTCCGCGCCCCGCCTTCGTCCCACATTCCCGGGAGACAGCTCCTATATCATACTGGGGAAGACAAAGGCCTTGAGTGCGACCGTCAGCCTGCGGTCACTCCACCCAGTGGGTGTGGGGGTTCGGATGAGCCCGCTGGGCTCTTCCCCATCGCCGCCTGGCAGGGCCCCGCCCAGCCCACAGGTTGTGACCGGGCCTGCAGCGTCGCAGATGGACCCGGCGCAGGTGAGTGGCGGGTGCACAGGTCCTCACCCGCTGGGATCCCCCCCTCCTGTGCCTGGAGCCCGTTAGAGAATGGTCGTGTCCCGAGTTCTTCACCTGCACATGAGTCTGGGGCCCTGAGAGTCACTTTCCCCTAGCATCCGGAGCCTAGGCCAGAGGTTAAATGGAGCGGATCACGTGGGATAAGGTCTGGAAAGGTGCCCCTAGCACAGGGATCAGCATGTGCCAGTTGCTTGGAGGTGAGTATAAGGTGGAAGTGTTCAGGGAAACCACAGGTCTCCATTTCGTCAGGTGGAAATAACAAGCAGGGGAACTGGAAGCAGGCCTGGAATAGCAGAGTGAGGTGCTGGGCCTCTGTTCGCAGTGTGATGCGAGTCACGGCAAGTGTAGAGCAGAGGAGGGAGGTGTTCTGACTCAGATCTTAACAAGCTCCCTCTGGATGCTGGGTGGAGAAGAGACTGGCAGGTGGGGTGCTGTTGCAGGCAGGAAGACCATTGAGGAGGGGACTGCAGTAGTCCAGGTGTGTGCTCTTTGTGGCTGGAGCAGAGAGGTGCCTGTGAGGTAGGAGAAGTGGTTGGCTCCTGGATGTGCTTTTTAAGTAGGACGGACTAGATTTCCTGATGTGTGGCAATGAGGTATCATGGTTGACCCTGATAGGTTTTCCGGATGTGGAAGTTGGTGCGAGGAGTAGATTTCAGAGGGAAGATAAAGAGTTGGGTTTTGGCCTTTTTGTATTTGAAATGGCCCAGAGGGACTTCCCTTGTAGTCCAGTGGGTAAGACTCTGTGCTCCCAATGCAGGGGGCCCAGGTTTGATCCCTGGTCGGGAAACTAGATCCCACATGTGTGCCGCAACTAAGAGTCCTCATGCCGCAACTAAGAAGTTCGCATGCCACAACTAAGAGTCCGAATGCCACGACTAAAGATCCCGCATGCCGCAACTAAGACCTAGCACAGCCTAAATAAATAATAAATAAATATTAAAAAACAATGTCCCAGAGACTGCCAAATTGAGGTGCCAAGTGTGCTTCTGCTGGGTCCAGGCTGGAGACATCTAAGGGGTGGAGGCTTGTGCTTAGATACTGTGTGCAGCTGTGAGCTGGGTACAGGATGATGACCAAGCCTCTGAGTAGAGTGTAGACTTGGGATGAAAAATGAAGCATGGAAGTAACTGAGGTAGGATAACAGAGGGGCCCGAGGTTACATTGTTTTACCTCTCTACAGCTCACCAGGTTTTTGTGGCTATCCTCCTTGGGTCCAGGGGTTTTTGTCAGGCTATTGGAGTAGCAGGGACATAAAGGGTCAGCCCAAGCTAAGAGTTCCTAAGCCAAGAGTGGGGGCCAGCGGGTCTGGGATTCGTGTATTAGGAAGGGCAAGGACAGCTATGACTGGTGAAGGGACAGCATGCACAAGGTCAGAGCTGGAAGAGAAAAAGGGTGTTTGAGATCTTACTCATGGTTCTGGGGGGCAAGGTTGAAGCAGCAGAGCAAAGAAGGGAGGCATTAAATAGAGGGGTGAGGGCTGTCTCTGTCAGTGGGAAGTTTTGGCAATCAAGGGCAGTCCAAGGTTAGTATTGGATTTTGCTTGCCTTTGTCGGCAAGCTATGTACATAGTGGTATATGGGTACACTAGGGAGATGCTTGTGGTGTGGCCAGGGAGAGGGGCGATGGTATTGCGGGCTGTGGGGAGTGGAGATATGAGGAAGGTATGGTCTTATGTGTACAAGGTAAGGGAATGAGCCCTGGTACTAGAGGCTTAAGGAAGAAAACAGAGCCCAAGTTTTCTTATATTTGGGAGGTGTGACCTGGAGGACACAAGGGAAATTGTCCAATGGGGGAAGTGGGCTGTGTGCCAACCTAGAGCTAAAACAGCATCCATCTATCCACCTTCTGTTTGTTCCTCTTGTTTGGTTTGGTCTGGATACAGTAGCCAGTGGGAGTACGAGGAGAGAAGGACACCAGTGGTGCCAGCACCTGTTGTCTTCTCTGAGGTGAGGGTCTTCTCTGAGGAGAGGGGGGTGAGCTGCAGGTAGGTGAGGGGAGGATGGACTGAGGGGGTCATGAGAAGAGGAGATGACAGTGGTAGATGTGGCAGAACTCTGAGTCACAGGTCAAGGGCCTGGATGTGCCCATTTGACTATTTGTTTATTATTCACCCCACCTATTGGCCCCCTGGCTTAGCTGTCTCATCATTGCAGAGTCTGGTGACCTTTGAGGATGTGGCCGTGCACTTTTCCAAGGAGGAGTGGGGGCTCCTTGATGCAGCCCAAAGGCAGCTGTACCACAGTGTGATGCTGGAGAACTTGGAGCTCATGACCTCACTTGGTAAGGCCCTTATGCCCTGCCCAGCCTGGTGGCCAGCATCTGCCTTCTGCCTTCTCCCCACAGAAAGCTCTGTTCATCCCAAAGCTGGACCATGGACACTGCTTCCTTCCCAGGTTTCCTGTTGTAGGTGCTGTGAGTGCTGGGACTGAGCTGTATGCACTCGCCCTGTTTTTCCCTGAGCAGCCTGATGAGCAATCCTAACAGCTGTTAGGTCCCACAGAGGCCTTGTGGGAGAAGAGGTTGGGGATCAGGCATTCTGGTCTGCCTAAAGGATCCCACTGAGCTTGACCAGTTCCTGGCAGGGTGACCTAGTGTGGGGCCATGCCTAGGTTCTGCCCCTTCTCCCAGAGACATTTTTTTTAAAATGGCTTTACTGATACATATAACATTCACCTTTTTTTTCGGCTGTGTCGGATTTTAGTTGAGGCGAGTGGGATCTTTGATGCAGCATGCAGGCTCTTTGTTGCAGTACACACAGGCTTCTCTCTAGTTGTGGCACGCAGGCTCCAGAGCACACGGGCTCTGTAGTTTGTGGGACACGGGCTGCCTTGTTAAGGCTCACAGGCTCAGTAGTTGTGGCACACAGGCTTAGTTGCAACGCAGCATGTGGGATCTTAGTTCCCTGACCAGGGATCAAACCCGTCTCACCTGCATTGGAAGGTGGATTCGTTACCACTGGACCACCAGAGAAGTCCCACGTTCAACTTTTTTTTTTTTTTTTGCGGTACGCGGGCCCCTCACCGCTGTGGCCTCTCACGTTGTGGAGCACAGGCTCCAGACGCACAGGCTCAGCGGCCATGGCTCACGGGTCGAGCCGCTCTGCGGCATGTGGGACCCTCCCGGACCGGGGCACGAACCTGTGTCCCCCCCATTGGCAGGTGGACTCCCAACCACTGTGCCACCAGGGAAGCCCCAACGTTCACTTTTTTAATGTGTACAGTTTAGTGGTTTTTCATATGTTCTCATTGTATAAATATCACCATAGTCCATAAAACTCCTAGAAAAGAACATAGGCAGTATGTTCTCTGACATAAATCATACCAGTTTTCTTAAGTCAGTCTCCCAAGGCAATAGAAATAAAAACAAAAATAAAGAAATGGGACCTAATCAAACTTACAAGTTTCTGCACAGCAAACGAAACCATAAACAAAACAAAAAGACAACCTACGGACTGGGAGAAAATATTTGCAGATGATACAACTGACAAGGGTTTAATTTACAAAGTATACAAACAGCCCATACAATTCAGTAACAACAACAAAAAATCCAATTGAAAAATGGGCAGACACCTGCTGGGCCTGTGTGCCACAAATGCTAGGGCCCGCACACCTGGAGCCCATGCTCTGCAGCTGGAGAGGCCACTGCAACAAGAGGCCTGCATACCACAGCAAGGAGTGGCCCCCCCTTGCTGTGGCCAGAGAGAAGGCCATGTGCAGTGGCAAGGACCCAGCACAGCCAAAAATAAAATAAATAAATTAAGAAAAAGAAAAATAAAAATGGGCAGAAGACCTAAATAGACATTTCTCCAAAGAAGACATACAGATGGGCAATAGGCACATTAAAAGATGCTAATCATTACTAATTATTAGAGATGTGCAAATGAAAACTACAATGTGGTACCACCTCACACTGAGCAGGATGGCCATCATTAAAAAGTCTACAAATAACAGATGCTGGAGAGGGTGTAGAGAAAAGGGAACCCTCCTGCGCTGTTGGGGGGAATGTAAATTGGTGCAGCCACTATGGAAAACAGTATGGAGGTTCCTTAAAACACTAAAAATAGAGTTGCCATATGATTCAACAATCCCATTCCTGAGCACATATCCAGAGAAAACTTGAAAAGATACATGCACCCCAATGTTCACAGCAGCACTATTTACAATAGCCAAGGCATGGAGACAAATGTCTCCATTTGTCTAAATGTCCCTCAACAGATGGTAAAGAAGATGTGGTGTATATATACAATGGAATATTACTCAGCCTTAGAAAACAATGAAATAATGCCATTAGCAGGAACGTGGATGGACCAGAGATTATCATACTAAATGGAGTAAGTCATAAGGAGAAAGACAAGTACCACGTGAGATCTTATATGTGGAATCTAAAATACGACACATGAACATATCTATGAAGCAGAAACAGACTCACAGATACAGAGAACAGACTTGTGGTTGCCAAGGGTGGGAGTTGGAGGAGGGATGGATTGGGAGTTTGGGATTAGCAGATGCACCCTAGTACCTACTGGATGGATAAACAAGGTCCTACTGTATAGAACAGGGAACTGTATTCAATATCCTGTGATAAACCATAATGCAAAAGAATATGAAAAAGAATTGTACATCTATGTGTAATTGAATCACTATGCTGTACAGCATAAATTAACACAACATACTTCAATTAAAATTTTTAAAAATTAGAGGTAATAAATATCACCATACTCTAATTTTAGAACATTTTCATTACCTAAAGAAAAACTTTGTAGCCTTTAGCAGTCACTCTACATCCCCCCTCATCCCTTCCTCCTGAGTCTTAGGCAACCACTAATCTACTTTCTGACTATGTAGATTTGCTTATTCTAGATATTTTATACAAATGGAATCATACAATATACATTTTTCTGTGACTGGCTTTCACTTAGCATAATGTTTTTGAGGTTCATCCATGTTGTAGCACATATCAGTTATATGTTGTTCATTTTTATGGCTGAATAATATTCCATTGTATTGATATACCCGTTTTTTTATCCATTCATCAGTTGATGGGCATTTGGCTTGTTTCCACTTTTCGACTGTTACAAAAATTATGGCTGTTATGAACGTTCATGTACAAGTTTTTGTGTAGATATGTTTCATTGCTCTTGGGTAGATACATAGCAGTGGAATTCACAAACTGTTTCCCAAACTAGCAGCACCATTTTACATTCCCACTGCAGTGTATGAGTGTTCTGAGTTCTCTACTTCCTCATAAACAACTTGTTACTATCTTTTTTCTTATAGCTATCCTGGTGGGGTGGTATCTCATTGTGGTTTGAGTTTGCATTTCTCTAATGACTAATGCTGTTGAGCATTTTTTCATGTACTTACTGCCCATTTGTGTATATTTATCTTTCTTTGAGAAATGTATTTTCAAGTTCTTTGCCTCTGTGTCCATGCCTCTGGTAAGGCCCCTTTACTCTGTGGCTTGCTGGGCCTTGTCCTGCACAGTGAGCCTTTCACTCTTACTCTGGCCCCCTTGGCCTATCAACAAACCCTTGGGCCCATTTCTGTATGTGTCAGTCACACATTTCTAATGAAATCACCCTTTCCACTAAGTGGAACACTCAGTTAAACAGAAATTTCTCGGCTTTCAGGTTGTTGGCATGGAGTGGAAGATGAGGAGGTATGTTCCAAGCAGGATGCTTCTGTAGATGTGGTGTCACAGGTCAGGATTTTCAGTGCACATCCTTCCACCCAGAAGGCTGACAGTTGTGACATGTGTGACCCATTCTTGAAAGACATTTTGCACCTGGATGTACATCAAGGAACACATGCTGAGGAGACTCCCTACACATGTGTAGCATGTGGCAGAGAGTTTTGGGTTGGTGCAAACCTTCACCAGCATCAGAAGGAGTGCAGTGGAGAAAAGCCCTTCAAATGGGACAAGGATAGGGACTTGTTTGTGCAGAGCTCAATAGTCTGTCTATCAGAGAAGCCCTTTACATGTGGGTTAGGTGGTAAGGATGTCTCGGACAGCCATGACCTCCTCCAGCACCCAAACACAGATGGCAGTGGGAAGCCACACAGCAGCACAAAGTGCAGGGAGGCCTTACCACACCCTTCCAGTCTTGGGCAGGTCCCAGAAGTCCATGCCTCACAGAAGCCCCTCAAGTGCAGTGACTGTGGAAAAGCCTTCCAGAAGAGTTCTGTCCTCCTCAACCACCTGAGAACTCACTCTGAAGAGATACCATTTAGATGCCTAAGAGTTGAAAATTCCTTAGAGGAGAAATTAACTCTTGTTAATGACCAAAAGTTTCACACTGGAGAAACATCTCACGTATGTAAGGAGTGTGGCAAGGCCTTTAGTCATCCGTCTAAGCTGAGGAAGCACCAGAAATTTCATACTGGAGTAAAATACTATGAGTGCAGTGACTGTGGGAAAACTTTCAGCCACAAACTCACACTTGTTCATCACCAGAGAATCCACACAGGAGAAAGGCCTTATGAATGCAGTGAATGTGGGAAAGCCTTCAATAACAGGTCACACCTCACTCGGCATGAGAAAGTTCACACTGGAGAAAGACCTTTTGAGTGCAGCAAATGTGGCAGAGCCTTCAGCCAAAGCTCCAATTTCCTTCGGCACCAGAAAGTCCACACCCAAGTAAGACCTTATGAGTGCAATCAGTGTAGCAAAGCCTTCAGCCGCAGCTCTGCTCTCATTCAGCACTGGAGGGTTCACACTGGAGAAAGGCCTTATGAGTGCAGTGAGTGTGGGAGAGCTTTTAACAATAACTCCAACCTTGCTCAGCATCAGAAGGTCCACACTGGAGAACGGCCTTTTGAATGCACTGAATGTGGAAGAGACTTCAACCAAAGCTCTCACCTCCTGCGACATCAGAAAGTTCACACCGGAGAACGGCCTTTTGGATGCAGTGAATGTGGGAAAGCCTTCAGCAATAGCTCCACCCTCATTCAGCACCAGAAAGTACATACTGGTCAAAGGCCTTATGAGTGCAGTGAATGTAGAAAAGCCTTCAGTCGCAACTCCAGCCTGATTCAGCACTGGAGAATTCACACTGGCGAAAGGCCTTATGAGTGCAACGAATGTGGGAAAGCCTTTGCTCACAGTTCCAGTCTCATTGAGCACTGGAGAGTTCACACAAGAGAAAGGCCTTATGAGTGTAGTGAATGTGGGAAATTCTTTAGCCAAAACTCCATTCTTATTAAACATCAGAAAGTTCACACTGGAGAAAGGCCTTATGAGTGCACTGAATGTGGGAAGTTCTTTAGCCGCAAGTCCAGCCTCATTTATCACTGGAGAGTTCACACTGGGGAAAGGCCTTATGAGTGCAGTGAATGTGGGAGAGCCTTCAGCAATAACTCTCACCTGGTTCGTCACCAGAGAGTTCACACACAAGAGAGGCCCTATGAATGCAGCCAATGTGGGAAAGCCTTTAGTGAAAGATCAACACTCGTTCGACACCAGATGGTTCACACCAGAGAAAGGACTTATGAGTGTGGCCACTGTGGGAAAATCTTCAGCCGCCTCTGCAACCTTGCTCAGCATAAGAGGATTCATACCTGAGTGGAGCCTTGTAGAAATGATCTTCGTGAGAAAATCTTCAGCTACATCCAACTTCATGCAGCAGAATACCCACAAAGAAATTACCTAATGTGTCACTAATGTGGAAGAGCCTTCAGAAGCTACTCTGCCCTTTTTGAGCAGCTCAGGCAGCACTGTCTCACCTCTGGAGCATAAACCTCTTTCTAGCTGCCTGGATCCAAATATTTGCAGCAGTCACCTACATATACATGGAGAGAACACCTCCCTTTGCCTCCCTTCTCCTTTCCTGGAGGGTGTTGGGATTGTCCTAGGCTCACTGGAATGGCTTCATTCCCATTGCCTCTGAGAGGGTTAAGGAATGAACTGACCCCATGCCGGTTGAGAGATTAATTAATCAAGACACATGACAGTCCTAAATGTTAATATACCTAACAGTGCTTCAAGGTACATGAAGCAAAAACTGATAGAACTGCAAGGAGAAATAGACAAATCCACAATTATAGTTGGAGATGTCCACATCCATCCCAGATAATCGGTAAGGACAGAGAAGATGACAACACTGCCAACCAACTTGACCTAATTGACATTTATAGAACATTCTGTCCAATAAAGGCAGAATACACATTCTTTTCACAGGCACATAGAACATTTACCAAAATGGAGCATCTTCTGGGCCACAAAACAAGGCTTGATAAATGGAAAAGAATTGAAATAATACAAAGTATGGACCCTGACTATGAGAGAATTCAATAAGAAGTCAAGGATAGTATGATGTGTGGAAAACCCTCACTTGGAAACTAAATAGCACACTTGTAAATAATCCATGGTCAAAGATGAAATCAAAAGAAAAATTAGTATTTTGAATGAAAATGAAAATAGAGGATATCACAACATATGGAATGTACCTAAAACAGTACCAGGGGAGAAATATTTGTGTGTGTGTCTCCATGTATACTAGTGAAATAAGAATAAACCCTATGGAGTGTAAAAAAGAATCATTAAATGCTCAATTTTTTAAAAGTTACAACAAAAGAAGCAACCATGACAAATACAAGCCATAATAACTTCTTCCCTTCACTAAAAGGTAAAAGCCAATTGCAGAGGTCACCTGAGCCCCCAGGAGACAGAAATGCAGAACGTCAGGAGGGGCCTCATTGACACACTCGGGGCCCCTCCACAATCCTGCTCACAGTTGCCAGTTGTGTGGTTTCTTAAGGGATGTCTGTCTCCCTGTGTCTTAGGCCATTCCAACTGACAGAACAAAAATACCATAAACTGGGTGGCTAATAAATAATAGAAATTTCTCACAGTTCTGGAGGCTGGAAAATCCAAGATCACGGTGCCAGCAGATTTGGTGTCTGGTGAGGATACTGGATAATAGCTGTCTTCTGTGTCTTCACACAGTGGAAGGAGAGAGGGAGTTCTCAGAGGGTCTCTTTTATGAGGGCGCTAATCCCATTCATGAGGGTTCCTCCCCCATGACCTAATCATCTCCCAAAGGCCCCCACCTCCAAATACCAAACATGGAGGGTTAGGTTTTAACCTATGTATTTTGGGGGGACACAACATTCGGTCTACATCACCTACTAGAATGTCTGTTTCATGCAGGAGGGCCCCTATGGGTTTTGTCTCTGCTGGGTGAGTTCAGTCTCCAGAGCACAGCAGTTTACCCAGCCTGGGGTAGGTGTGTAAGCACTCAGGGAGTGCAGGAAGGGGGATGTACTACTCTTTCCCTGTGCTCTCCTACCTCCTACCTTCTCCCTCCCGAGTCAGCTCTGATGACAGGGCTGTGGTCTGGGCCCAGCACAGTCCTTCAGAGCAGCCAAACATTCCCTGGAGTCCTACTGTGTGTCAAGCTCTTGCCTGAGCTCTGTGGTAGATACATTTCATCTCCATCTGATGTGCAGTACAGAGATTTAACGTGCAAACAGACTAAAGCAGCGTCATTGTAGGGTGGCTGGAGCTATGAAGGAAATGAAGCAGAGGTGACAGAAGTGATGGCTGCTACTGCAGATTGGTTGGGGAGAGCTGAGGAGGTGACTCCAGGGGAAGGGTATTCCAGCCAGAAGGCCACAGTGCAGAGGCCCCAGGCAGGAATGAACAATGAGGAGACCCAGTGGCCCATGAAGAGGAGAAGAAGGCCAAGAGGTCAGGAAACAGGTCATGCCGGCCCTTTTGGCTGGGGTGAGGAGTTTGGTTTAGTCTACCCTACCCCCACTTGTTTGTCATCTGAGCCCTACTCGGCTCAGCTGGACTGTAACTCCGCTTCCACACAGACTGCCATGCCAGGGGCAGACAATTATTACACACAGGGAGAAGGGCCTGAGCAGGCCTGGTGGTGGGCGTATGCCTTACGGTGTTGGAGAGACATTGAGCAGACTGGCCGAGAACTCTGTAGGGTCCTACCCCACGTGGCCACCACCCCTCCTGCCATCAGGGGGTGGGTGAGAGTAATCACTGAAGCTAAAGGAAGCAGTGGTTTCCAACCCCAACCCACAGTACTGGCTGAGCACCATGGCCCAAAGCCCCTCAAGTCCAGGGTTGGTGGCTCTCTCCCCAAACATACCTCCCAGCTAACGTTTCCTTCTTGACATGAAGCATGATTTCTAGACCAGGGACACAGCTACAACCACATAACAAGTTTCGCCGAACTGACATTTTATTTACCTTTTGAAAAAACAGTTTCCAAAATTTTAAACATAGATCTGGATCCATATGTTGATTCAACCACTTCTTTCCCTGGAGCCCTGGGAGAGCGGCAGCAAAAACAGCCAAAGCCATGGTGTGCAGAGACATCAGGAACACTAGCTGGGTCACAAAAGCCACATCCTAGGACTACAGGATCTTCTTTCAGTCCCAGGGTGATGGCCATGAGGTGAACATGCCCGGAAAGGCTCTGAGAATCCAGGAAACCTGTAGATTATTTGCTGACAGTGACCTTAGACACAGGGAACAGGTTTGCAATTCCTGAGAAATTCTGCATGCCGCACCCTGTGAAACCATGGTTCCTGGAACATGTGTGGGTGCCTCTTTAGAACCAGCTCAAACCCTCTCGTTTACCAGATTCCCCACTCCATGTGACCTCACTCAGTGCTTCTGTGTCCACTTACTCTTTCCAACAGGCCCCTGTAGGACTTATGGCCAGTCTAGAACTTACCTCCACGTTCTCGATTTCAGGGGGCATGGCTTCTGAGCTGATTCTGGAAACAACTTCTTCTGACCAATGCTGGAGATTGCAGAACATTCCCTGGGAACAAGGAACCCAGGTGCTTGTCCCTAGTCACCCGGGGATCTTATACCAACCACCCCATTCTTCAGGTGAGCTCTGGATCCTTAAGTAAACCTGACATCCAGGCTGAAGATTTATCCACAAAGCCCTTCAATCTTTCCCTGGAGGTCTTAGGCACCAGTGCAAGTTAGGCCAACCTTGACTGGAGCTGTCCTCTGCCATCCTGCTGGCCCCACTGAGGCAGACAAAAGTCAGGGACTCCCACAGAAACCGTTCCCTCTATCCATGAGCCCAATTTTGTTCTCAATCCTTCCACACAGATCCCAAAGATTAAGGGTGGTTTAAACAAAAAGGCCTAAAGATTACCAGACATTCCAGAGCAGTGTGAGCCAGTTCCAGGGTTGGATAAATGCACGACAGGGACCCAATGTAGTGTCAACAGTGTCCATGAAAATGGTTAACCTTCCCTGGAAGGCCCCAGCAGACACTGCTCAGCTACTCTTGGCCAGAACTAGGTCATGTCCACACCTAAACCAGTTGGAGGGGGAGAGAATAAGACCCATTATGGGCTCCACCACTCATGATTCTCTCCTTTATCAAGTGGGGAACACAGAGGTCAGCTTCCCTGAGCACACACAGTGACTGATGCACACCACGGGGACCTGCCAGGTGGTAGAAGTGGGATGGCTTCTGTCACAGAAACTGGCAGTGACTCAACACTGCCAACAGCCTGGGCAGGTGAGAGTGCAACACAGCTCCTGAACGCTTCCCATGTACCTGGCACCAGCCCAGTGTGGGTGCTGGGGTGTGACATGTTTAGCTTTCAAATGGCTACTCTCCTCAATCTCCTTTCTGGAGTGAGACCTTTCATGTTGAACAAGGTGCCAGCCATGTCTAAAGGTTTTCCCACATCCCCGTCCTCCTATGGCCTTTCTCCAGTGTGGACTTTCTTGTGCTGAAGGAGGGTAGAACTATGTTTAAAGGCTTTCCCACATTCTGTACATTCATAAGCCCTCTCTTCAGTGTGGAACTGCTGGTGCCGATTTCGGTAGGACCTGGTAGTGAAGGTTTTCCCACACAGGCTGCACTCGTAGGGACGTTCTCCAGTGTGGACTTTCCAGTGCTGATACAGCCCAGAGCGGGTCACGTAAGTTTTCCCACATTCACTGCACTCATAGGGCCTCTCTCCAGTGTGAACTCTTTGGTGAAGAATGAAGCTATGGTTGTATTTGAAGAATTTCCCACATTCCCTGCACTCATAGGGCCTTTCTCCAATGTGAACTTTCCGGTGCCGAATGAGGGTAGACAGAACGCTGAAGGACTTCCCACACTCGCTGCACTGGTAAGGCCTCTCTCCAGTGTGAATTCTCTGGTGCAGAACAAGTGCATCTTTGCGGTTGAAGGTTTTCCCGCACTCACCACACTTGAAAGGTTTTATGCCAGTATGAACCTTCTGGTGCTTCCTCAGTTTAGATGGGTAACTGAAGGCCTTCCCACACTCACTACACACATGGGATGTTTCTCCAGTGTGAGTTTTTCGGTGATGAACCAGGGTTGAGCTCTCCATGGGGGCATTTCCACCTGCTGGGCACCTGAAGGGTCTCTCTTTGGCGTGAGTGATCAGGTGGTCGAGGAGCGCGAAGGCCTTCAGGAAGGCTTGCCCGCAGTCGCTGCACTTGAAGGGCTTCTGTGTGGCGTGGGCTCCCTGCCGTTGCTGGCGAGTGGAGCTGGGTGGGAAGGCCTTGCGCTCGGTGCTTCTGCGTGGTGTCCCCTCTCTGTGGGTGGCCTGGGGCTGGAGGAAGCCTAAGGTGGCAGGGATGTCCTTCCCAGACACCCTGCACAGAAAGGGGTTCTCTGACAGGCGGACTCTGTGGCTCTTCACCTGCTCGGGAGGGGCTTCCTCATCCTGCAGTCTACACAGAAAACCTGAGACAGAAGAGTCAGTCACTGAGAGCTGGCTTAGACGGAAGAGGCACCTTCATCATCAGTGCATGTCAGACACACCCATAAAGGAGTCCACAGAATTGCCAGGAGGTTGCAAGGAAAGGTCTGGATGAGAAAGGGCTGGCCCAGTGGAACAGGGCTCTGCCAGAGCCCAGAATAGGGGAGACCTCAACAGGGACCAGGACACAAAGATGGGAACAGTGCAGGGAAGGGATTCAGGGCCTCTAAGTCACTCCTGTGCAAAGGGTATCGGCAGGGCTTAGCTACTGGAGACAGCAAGCACTGTGAAGAGGCTGTGTCTACTCCAACGAAAACATGACTGTGACACAGTAGCTGGTGCTCAAGTATTACTGAAGGATATGTACGCACCTCAAATCACAAATACAGGAGGTCACAGTTGACAGTTCTGCACTGGCACAGAGGAGAGGAAATGACAAGACACAGAGGCCAGAGAGGTGGGTCGTCCAGAGCCATGGTAGAGATAGCAAGACCACACAGTGAGTCCACAAGAGGGGAGAGGAAAGGTGGGAATA